CCAGTAAGTTATTGGACCAGAGGGCTATATGCAATCAAAATCATCGTATGGTGTATCCAGGAGGTGAACCTACTCGCGAAGTAGTTTTCCGCGTCTGCCACACCGTCAATAATGAGCCGCTCAACTTTGTCCTTCAGGGTTCGTCAGTTACATACCATTCCGAAATGAACGATCGCCAGAAGCTACTTACAGGGAGGATGGAGGCATATGTTGCCCCGAGAATAGATCCATATCTAGAAGGTTGAAAACCGTTGATAGGAATACCACTAAAAAACTTGAAGCAACTTACGAAAATCCCCAATATAGCAACTTGCTCCTTCCATGTGCTTCCACGATGCGCAACATGTCTCTGGCCGTATTTTCTGTATTGATATGCTTCAAAAAGTCTGAAGTGCGCTCGGACGCTAGTTTTCCTATGATTTGCGAACGGGCCCAGGCATTAGCTACGTCGGCATCCCCTCCCTCAGGACCCAAACGGTCGGCATCGGCTTCAAAGATTTTTCGCTCAGCCTGAGCGAGGAAGGCCTCTCCCTTTGGCGTGGACCGAGCAATCCCTATGGGAGTGAAAATGACTATGATGATGAAGTCATTTTTCGGGCTCCAGGAGCTTACCTCGAGGGTCGAAACCAACAATATCGAATTGTGGACCTAAAATTTTGACGAACTGGTCCCCGTTCAAGTTAACCGCATCCACACCACTGCCACCTGGTCCGCCAGGGTTGAACAACACCGGTCCTCGATACTCTGGAGAACTAGTTGGGTACGTAGAAGGAATTCGAACTAAAGCAATCGCTGCTTGTAAACCACCCTCGTTGGAATAATCCAAAGGGACCTAGTCATTATCGTCCATATGAGAACGCATCGCATTTTCAGGGTTCGACCTACCAGCAGTCGGGCACACTGGCGCGCAGTGTAACAATCATACCAAACCAGGTTCTTCGTTGGAGTAATCTGGAAAGTTCGTTACATATAGAGTAGGCAGCCCCACACACGATGAGGTATACATACCTGCTCCCAGATATATTCCCCGCCTGGAGCAGGTCTATTGGTAACGCGCGGCCTTTCGAATACATATTGTTCTCCAGTTACCCCCGAAACGCCCTCAGAGGCTAACACGGGTAAGAGTGCAGCACTGAACGCTACTGCAACGCTGAAAGCCCTCCAACTTTGCCTTATCATCACGGCCGAAATGAGGATTGGTGGGAACTTGTGGGCGAAGTGACGACTCTAGAGTCATGGTATTTTATTGAGCCGACCGGGAAACTCCCATGATGGATGTTTGCATGACGACTTCGAAAATAGACAGAGATGATTTGCAAATGGGGAATGATAGTCAGTGCTTTGTATAATCCTGCGAGCAGACGTGACCACGATTGCCCGGTTTATGGTTCTAGGTATCGATAGAACAATATAGTTCCGTCAGGTGGACTTCATGGCAGAAACATCAACCACCTCTATATCTAGTCCCCCTTTGAAGTCGAAGGAGAAAATACCTCTTCCCACTCATCATGTATCCAGTACCTCAAGCTTGAGATGATAACGGGAATAACAAACGTTGAATGTAACACGCGGTAGGTTAAAACCACAAACCGATGACTGGATTGTATCTCGATAGTCACTTGAAATATTTGGTGGCATGGCTCTGCACTTTCAACCAGGCGTCGTCCAGTGTTTTGACGACCTCATCAGCTACAAGAATTAGTCCACTGCACAAGTAAAGAATACGGGCACTCACGCAGGGGCCCTTTCTCGAGGTCGATTAGGTTCTATAAGTAACAGTCAATCCTCTGCCAGAGAAATTTATTCGCTACTCACTTGTCTGATATGTGCCAAACTAGAAGCGCCGATCAATACAGCGTCTCCGTGTTCTCGTTTCATAAGGCTATGGTGGGAGATCCACCTTAAGGCAACTTCGGGCAAGGTCAAGTTGTGGTTCTCTGCGACGGCTCGGATCGGTGCTAGTGCTTCAAAGTAGGCTTCGTTCCAGTACCTTCAACCAGGTAAAGTGAGATTCCTCCGGTGTCGGAATATGTTAATGGATTTATCTTACCTGTTTCTGTAATTCTATGTTCAGTCAGCTCTCGTGGTATGGTCAGAAAAAGACTTGATCAGTAGCACACCTTTCCTTGGTTCCGGTTGGGATCAAATCGCGAACCAGCTTCGGGGTGGTCGTCGATACTAGAATACCTCCCAGTGAAGAAGCCGCCGCCCACTGTGATGTGGTGAGCAAGTTTCTATAAAAGACAGATTTAGAACGCTCCTTACATGGGTTAAATTCATAGAAACTGATCCCGAACTTCCTCAAGCATGGGAATAGTTCTGGTTCAACGCCGCGGTGGATTGCATTATATATGCCCTGATAAGCAGTCGGTTGAATCCAACCATTCCGTCGGCAAATCCCAACGATCTCTGCGACTTCCCAGCTACATTTTCCTCGTAGATATTTGATGTTTTTGTAGACGAAAAAAAAACCACGTACGCTGGGTAGTTGCTGATACCAAACCTATTGAAGTATCCTTCCTTATGTAGGTCATTCACGGTTTTCAGCGTGACTTCGTATGAAACTGTGCGATCTGGGGCATGCAGGTACCACATATCGATAGACCTGGGAGAAGATCAGCCTCACGGCATGACGCAAAAAAGTAAACTCACTCTGCATTGAGGGCTTGCAATGAACGTAGGAGGTGCTTTCGCAAGCCCTAGTAAAGGGTGAATAACCCCCTCGCCCATCAGCGTCGTCCAACTCACCTCGGGGGAATGATCAATCGGGTCTGTTGGGTGATTCTAAGCATAATTAGCACACCAACACTTCGGACACGCTTATCGACCTTACCTGGCGAGGAGCGAGTTTCGTCTCAAGTACTAATCCCTTCCCCCTCCAGTCGATTTTCCCAAGATACTCTTCGCTCGTTCCACCGGCATACACTCGTGCGGTATCGATCTATACCACATTCAATATTCTGGCGTTCAATCACGTTCTCGGGTGCATGCCTCTGTGAATCCATGAGAAAGGAACTCGTCCAAGATGGCCTCAACATCCTTCAGATCGTGGACGCGCGCTCCTTCCTTCCCCACCTCGCCGAACGTCATGGCACCCTACATAACCAGTCAGCGATTGGGCCAATAACAAGAAGTCCTGCTTACCATGACTACATTCAAAGCGCTCTTCTGCGGGGGCGACATGGCTGTACGAATTCGAAGTGCAGCTTACACTTCACAAGCAGCTTGAACTATATATAACGGGAGCTCTTGGACTAATTTTAGTGCAATCATCGGCTGGTGGCACATGATCAGGCCTCTGACTTCTGCTGAATCTTCGCTGATATGTCTAGAAGGAGGTGACTTAAAGCCAGTAAATCCTGACACACGGGTGAAGTCTTCCTCTCAAGCCTTGCTCAAAATCCAGGTATAGAAGTGACTGGAGAATAGGATGACAAGCAGAGCATAAGGTTGAACGTACTGTACGAGGGGTTTTCAGGAAGCCCTTGATTGCACCAAAAACGAACCGAATGTGAAATTGATATTTTTTGTCAAGCATGATCATATTCCCGAAGGTGTTCTTGGCTGAAATCTGGGCGGCGGCTAAACGACCAGGGAGTATGCCCAACTCAACGCTTGAAGACCTAACAACTCTGTCGCTTGGCCATGCACGGAGTAGTCTTCATCCGGGTCGTATTCCATCCATGAAAAAGACATCGATGGGGGCCTGTTTTCGCTCGTGCCGCTTCAGAGACTGTCGACTTTTTGTTGCCAGAAGCCAGCAGAGACGCGGTGGATGCAGATTCCAGAACGAATCGGAGGTTCCTGATTGGTCTTTTGCCACGTGACAAAACGAAATTCGGTCATCCCGAACTGAGCCCGTCCATTCTCGGACAGCCAGTGCGCAAAATGTCTCTTCTCCGATGTCTTTCTCGTCCCGTTTTTGCTGGCGCAAGACGGCAAATATCAACGACCGCAGCTACGCGGTCTGATGCTCTCTTTGTGGTACGTCCTAGTTGAATGGTTGCGAGGAATTTATCTCAACTCGCACAATAGCACCGCGACACTCCTTACAACAATACCAAGGTGAAGCCGATTCTCAGTGCTGGAGAAACCATTCAATGATGATAACTTCGTTGTGAAGATTGCCTTCGAATTTTCACCAGAAAACTTGAAGAAGGCACAACAAGTTATTGCACGTTATCCGCCTCAGTACAAAAAGGCTGCTGTCATTCCCCTTCTCGATCTCGGTCAGCGACAAAACAAGGGATGGACGAGCATCAGCGTGATGGACTACATTGCAAAGCTCTTGGAAATGACTCCAATGCGTGTGTACGAAGTGGCGACCTTCTATACTATGTTCAACCGGTACGTGCTGTTGGTCAACGTTATTATCAATCACCTACTTTTCTCAGGGAGCCAATTGGCCAACATTTTGTTCAAGTCTGCACAACAACACCTTGTATGTTGCGAGGTTCGACGGAGATTCTCGACACTGTTTGTTCGCATCTGGGTGGCATTCACGCGGGTCAAACGACTAAAGATGGTAAATTTACGGTAATCGAGGTGGAATGCCAGGGTGCTTGTAGCAATGCACCAATGTTGGTCGTAGGCGATGATTTCTACGTGAGTAGGGACCAATTTTCCTATCATTTCACTACTCAACATAGTAAAGGAGGACCTTACACCGGAGACCACCAAGAAAATTATCGACTCATTTGCACGCGGAGAGGTACCAAAGCCCGGCCCACAGAGTGGTCGACAGACCAGTGAAAATTCCGCGGGGTTGACTGCACTGACATCAAAAGTATGGATATTCCTTCTTCCCCTGACACAGTCTGTTGACGATCTTCACTTCTAGCCTTATGGTCCAGGGGAGTTCTGCCAGCCTGACTTCCAATAGATGTAGATACATAATGTTATTCCCTTTGATTCGTAGCCTGAGTAGTATTGGAAACGTAGGATTGCGATTTTGGCGTTTTCGAGGCTGAGTTGCTAAAAACAAAAACATGGAAAAAGTTCGCTGGAAGCAGGATTTGAACCTACGCGGTGAAACACCAAGTGATAAATTTGGACATTCAAATCACTCGCCTTAACGACTCGGCCATTCCAGCTTATTTCGCCAAACGAGACCTTGCTTACAATATAACCACAGCCAAACCCACCTGTTATGTCGTGTCCCAACGCGTCTTTCCACAACGCTCATCGCGTCGTTTCTACTATCCTCGCTGGTGCCCGCTCGCCATGTCCATCAGTGCTCAAGATGCAGTGTAATGCAAGTCTCTTCCGATGCTTCACTCAACGCTGACCACCCATTGCAGCAAGGCCATTCAGGAGATGGCACCCATGATTAACTTTGAGGATGATTTCCTCACAATCGTTGCTGCTGAGGAGGCAATACTTGCGTTTAACGCAGAGCGAAAGAAAGAAATCGAGGAGGCAACCTCTAAACTTGCAGGTGAGTCATTTCCCAGCGATTCGACCACACTTCCGTGTCATTGACCGCCCTCTTTCACATTGGGGTGAAGCCCGTAAGAAGGCCATGGAAGCGGCTCGGACGTCCTCTAAACGCCCTGCTAGCGTTCCTTCTGTAGAAGACCATGGAAAGAAATTGCATGCTCTCGAGACTGAGCATCTGGCAGCTGCTAAAGCTATCGGAAACCTTGAGGCCAGGATTGGTGCGAAGGAGGCCGAGCTTGCAGAATTGAGGGAAGAAGCCAAGAGACTAGAAGAACATGATCCTGCTATCGAGCACGAGCGAGAATTGGATGGTTCTACGTGCGTATTGCAACTCTTCGTCGCGAGATTTGTTAAGACCTCCAACGTGCCACAGGTTGAGGCTACAATTTTACAAGGGCCTAGGTTTCGATGCCATCCTCGACAAGGATAACCACATCGCGAAGATGCTAGTCCGTAAGTGCAGCCTACGCGTCAGCGAGAATCTGCTTTAACGAGCCATAGGAGGGTCGAACGATGTACATTCTGTAGATTTCAACACGGCAAAATCAGAAACCGAACTCACGCACGAGTTGTGGAGACTTTCATCGATATGACGCTTTCCACGTCATTAATGTATTGATATCATAGCCTATTAGTCGCTAATATTCTCAGGTAGAAGAGTTAATGCCAGATATCCGTATGAAATAACGATACAGCCAAAATCAGAACGAATTACAAGAAGGACCAACTCCGCAAATGCCAGTATATATGAATAAAATTAATTACGATTGAGATGTGAGCTATGCACAAGTTGAGCCGTTGGGTCTTTATCAATAAAGTGGCTACAGACCTTGATCATTTCCGGTTTAATCACCCAGAACTTTTTCTCTTTGCATCTTTCGCCGACTTCTCTCACTTTGGCTTCGATCGCGTTCTTCTTCACCTTGTGCGCACGGAGTTCGTGGTATATCGCATCAACGAGGAAGGTAATAGTTGGCGATTGCAGGTCAGTTATTCTGGAGAGTAAGAACTGGAGGTGGGCATCAGGGAATGGTGTCTTGGGAAGTAACGTAGGTTTCTTCGTTGAGGTTGAGGTTGAGGCCAAAGCCGGGTTTGAAACCACACGGTTTGGCAGTTGAGGAACGGCGAACACATTTTCGGAGGGTTGGGCAGGTTTCTTTTGACTTGCTCGTGAATCTTCGACACAAGTGGAAACAAAGGTGAATGGGTTGATGGGATATGGTGTATCTATCGCGACGTCAGTCAAGGTCGGGCAGACACTGAGAGGGACTAACCGTTGAAAAGCTGGATTCGGTACTGTTCAAAGGGCTCATAACTACATTGCCCAACTTTCGACTCCCAACAGGGTCCGCTCGCGAATGCCACTAAAGGAATGACCACTTTTCGCTTCTTCGTCGTTTTCTTTTCTCCGTCGTCGGCCTTTCGTTTCGGGGGTGGAGGAAGTGCACTGAAGTCTATGTCAGGCAGTGGCAAGTCGAAATCCGTCATAGAGATGTCCGGTTCCTCGTCGTCATCAACAAGCCAGCTGTCCACATCGGAGTCTGCTTCGTCTTCGGGATCGTCTTCTTCGCCGTCATCCACAACATCATCTGCCTCCCCTGCATCGACTTCCCATTCTTCACCACTGTCGTACCCATAATCAAATTCCAATGGGTCTCGAGCGAACGGTGTCCTCGGCCCTATGTGACGAGAACTTCGGGTCCAAGTGCCGTAGTAACCTGGACGAGCGTCTTGATGGAATATCAGGATCTTAGCCGGGAAGAGCTTGCGGTTGGTTAATTGACCCAGCAATGAACGGACACGAGAAATATCTCCTGTCACTTCGGCTTCCGAGAGTTGCGTCAACATGCTTCGGATCGAGATCGGGTTGTAGGACTTGTATGAAGGAGGCTTATGCTCCGGACGAGGGAGTCGCTTCTGGTCTGAAGGAAGAGGTAATGAGGATAGGACGTGGCGTATGTGATCTATGTTTTGTTGAGTTAGTGTGAATAGTTTGGCTGCTCGTGCTAAATACCAACCAGAAGGGGTCATTTGCTGAAGGGCTGCCACATCGACCGACTCAACATCTCGAGGTCCTCCAGCGGCTCTATCGTGCTGCTGTCTCACAAAATAGTTTGAGGGTGCTAAGACAGAGTCTTTCTTCAGGACAAATGGTTTGAAAATCTTCTCAAATTCTGACTGCGTGGTTGATGAAGTGCTCGCGATCAGGACGTTTGTAGGTGTCGATGGATTGGTTTTTGGCTTTGAAAAGAAGTTCGCCATCATGGATCGAGCTTTGTTCTGCGAATCCTTTTCCTTCTTCTCTTTCTCCGCTTTAGCTGCTTTCTTCTCTTGCCGTTCTTTTTCCTGCGGATTATCTTGAGTATAAGAGTAAGGCGGACTTAAATTGACAAACCTTGGCAGATTTCTCGGGGTCGATAGGTTTCTTGGGTCGTGCTTTAGCTGGGTCTACCTATAGATATAATGCAAATGAAGTTTTGATGTTTGCATTTGAAAATTACTTACTGCGTTGTCTTCGTTCGATTTCGCACTGCGTGCCTTCTTGGCAGGACTAGCTTCGCTGACATCATTTGTGAGGTCTACAATCTCTGTTTTTTGCTTTGGGTGTGGTTTGGCAGTTCCAATGATTGCCTCTTGCTCTGAGGGAGAAAGGGCCTGGAAAACAGCAGCAAGTGTTTTCTTGGCCTAGTTGTACGGGTGAGTATGGTCGACAGTTCATCTGGTTGATGAGCTCGCCGTACCTGTATCCGTTCGGTCAGTCTGCTCTCCGCCTTCTGACGAGAATTCTTCGGCAACCAGTCGTATTGACCCATTGGTACCTCCCATCTCCAAACACAGACGACGGCAGGGGGCTTTGTCCCATCGATACCATCCAATCCGTAGTTATTTCGTGTCACGACCTCTTTAATTGCAGTTTCCACTATGCTAAATGGTAGCATTGTTGCTGCAGGACTGTTACCATCGTCTTGTTCATCATCGTCCTGAGTTGGCATGAGTTCGTGGTGAATGTATTTAGTAAGCGCTGTCAGAATTTTGTCGCTGTAAACACGAGTGAGGGAACCAAAATTGCAACGAGGTGAAGAACTTACCTCTCGTGGGCAAGTTTCGCAATCAATGGCTTATACTCAGAAGGAAAAACCAACAGTGGCGGTTCACTCCTCTCAATTCGCTGTTCAAGCATTTCACGAAACGAAACGATTTCTGGGCGCGTCGTTAGCGGTTTTAGTGAACAGCTTCATATTTGCTGACCTTGCAACGACTCCGATTGCTTTTCAAACGATAGCGGCTTCTGCTTGAATATGACCTTTCCGTTCTTCAGCTCTGCAATTGCATCCGCCTTCGCTGCTGGGGATAGTCAACTATTCCACCCCGCTGGGGCAACGCGTCGCGCTCACCTGCACCAGAATTCTTCTTCACACCAAGAGGAGGCGCAGTTGATGACGTAGTGGACAAGCCATCCTGCGCTTTATCCTGCTTGGTATCCGACATTCTATGCAAGACGATAGGAAAGGAACGTGTGCAGGGTCTCGCGAGCGATGTGGTAGCAGGAGAAAAAGGCGTTGCAGCCCGTGGGACACAACAAACGCGACGTGACCGCAATCGCGTAACGCGTTCGTGACGTTCCAGTGAATTTGTGCTCTATCCAGCATGTCGTTCTTCAAACCACAAGGTGCAGCAAAACCAACCCAAAAGCTCACAGCAGATCCAGCACTACAGCCATGGGTTGAGAAGTAGTCAGTACATCCTTATTCTCTAGAGGTTCTCTTTTCACAATTTCACACAGTCGCCCGAAAACCATTGACGATGTTGCTGCACAGGAGTATACCGTTGCCGTCTTGCAGAAAACCTTAACTTCTACGAACGTATGTAAACCTGGTTCTTGAGCTCAATCTGGGACTCAGATCTTGTACAGCTTCCTCATATGCTCTTTTATGGACCCCCAGGGACAGGGAAAACGTCCACCATCCTTGCATTGGCCCGCCAACTCTTTGGGTCCGTTGCAAAGTTTCAATTTGACCCACAATCTCACACCTTGATAGGCCAGATAATTTCCGAAATCGCGTCCTCGAGTTGAACGCGTCGGACGAACGTGGTATTGCCATTGTTCGTGAAAAGGTCAAGAACTTTGCTCGACAGACGCCTCGAGCGCAGGTTGTGGGCTCTGACGGGAAGACTTACCCTTGTCCACCATATAAAATCATCATACTCGACGAAGCAGACTCCATGACACAAGACGCTCAAGGTGCCCTCCGGCGAATAATGGAAACCTACGCCAGAATTACACGGTTTTGTCTTGTCTGCAACTATGTAACCCGGTATGGCTAAACACTACATTCGCCCTTTGAGAATTCCTAATATCCTCTGCAGTATCATCGAACCTCTCGCATCCCGTTGCTCAAAGTTCCGCTTCACTCCCCTCGATACCACATCCTCCGCTGCACGTCTCGAATACATCACGCGAGCAGAAGGCATAAACGTAGATCAAGCCGTCATCGATGCTCTCATAAAAACATCTTCCGGCGACCTTCGGCGTGCTATCACTTACCTGCAATCCGCGTCCCGCCTCTCAGCTTCCTCAAACCCACCACTACCAATCACATCAAGAGATATCCAAGAAATAGCGGGGGTTGTCCCAGATGACGTTCTGAACAGT